GCTTTACACAATTGATGTGTGTATGGATTGCGATAACACTTGTATGAGCTCCTAATAAAATGTTTAAAAAAGAAACCTAGTTGGTATTATAGTAATTTTAAGTGAAAATGAGATGAACAAAGGAAAGATGAAATGTGTTCTTTGTATTGTGCAGATCAATCCATAATGGATGTTTTGAAGCATAAAAGTTTCCTAGAAGAACTATTGTTTTGGACTATAAAGTATGAATTTCCCCAGAAGATGGTTACTTTCTTACTCAACATGCTTCCAGATCAAGAGTATAAGGTACCTAAACTTTGTCCCCTCTTCCCCCCAAACAATGTTCCTTTTCTTTTTTCATCTCTTCTTTACTAATTTTTAAAATGTGTATATTTTCTAGTTGTGGCTTAATATGTTATTGATCCCTGAGGGCTGATATAACACCATGAAAGGCTGTTAACCACTGCTGCCGACCCAGGCTTTACATCAAGAACACTGTATAGTGACTCTGAGGCAATGCAGCATTACTTAGCAGAATTCCAAAGTGTTGCTTTCCACATGTAGCACACTTTGGCTTAAAGAAGGTACTGGAGAATGAACCTTAGAAACACAATTGCATATACATATAAATATATAGTTGCAAATTGTAAGTCCTCTGAAGGAGAAGTATATAGATTGCTATAGGAATGTTTCATGGGGGGAACTGAATTAAGGTTGTGGGCTTAGGCATTTCAAAAGCATGGAGTTAGTGACTACTGGCCACATTATTGACTTATATACAAATACATATAGATGAAGTCTCTAGTCCTAGACGGTGGCAACCCACCTGTCACCACCATATGGTTATGGCAAAGAGACACAGCTTAGTGCATGAGAAGGACATAGAGCACACTATAATTCTTCCCATCGTATAGTTAATAAGGCCTCTTTAGGAATGACACTTTAGAAGTGTCAGTACTCTGCCTGCCATTATAACTGCTGTGTAAGAAATATACATGCCACAGAGGATGTACATAAAGTAAACATACAAGCATTGATTAATTTGTCCTTTAGTTATAGTAAGTTCTCTATGATGGTTAACTGAGACTTTAGGTTTTGTTGTAGATGTCACAGATGTTGACAGTAAGTTGTCATGTTGGCAAGCAAAGCGAGCATTTATATTCCTCAATCATGCTACTGTAATTGCTTTCAACCTTTAACCATGTAAAATGTCTATTAAATTTTTTTCTAATTGTCAAAAAATTTTTGCTTATGTTCTCCAATATTGAAAATATGATTTAAGACTGTTGTCATCATTGGAATTAAGTTTTTGGTTACTTTAAATATCACCATAAGCTACCACCATATTTTAAAATGTTAATGTAATATATCAGAAAATATTTTATATAATTCAAAACTAAACTACTTTTTCTTATTTGAAAAATTTACAGGTTGCTTTTACAAAAACTTTTGTTCAGCATTATGCTTTCATTATGAAAACATTGAAGAAAAGCCACGAATCAGATACAATGTCCAACAGAATTGTGCATATTAGCGTTCAGTTATTCAGCAATGAGGAACTGGCCAGACAGGTAACAGAAGAATGCCAGCTGCTGGATATTATGGTCACTGTGTTATTATACATGATGGAAAGTTGCCTTATCAAAAGTGAGCTACAAGGTAAACTCAGAATTATTCTTACCAGTTTTTTAAAATTAATATCTTTAGTGTGACTAGCCTTCAGAACTCTTTATGGGTGTATTAATAGATGCAAATACATAGCTTTTTTTAAAAAAAAAACATAGCTTTTTAATTTACCAAAGTTGTTATTTTTGTACATGTTAATGCTTTTTAATGATTGCTGGTTTTAATGTCATGTGATAATGCTATTATTTAACCATAGTCTTATTAGAAATATTCCTATTTTTTTAAATCATAAATTTGTTACTCTCAGCCTTAGGTATTTCTATTTGTTTTATAATTAAAGTTAAAACAAATCTTGGGTTATCTGAGTTCTTTGAAATTCATCTTTGTGCTTACTATGTAATTGATACTTCTTAACCTGCCATAAGGAGGCATAGTGTAGTGGGTTATGCTTTGGGTTGTTGACCGCAAGGTCAGCAGTTTGAACCTACCAGCCTCCTCGCAGGAGAAAGATGAGGCTTTCTACACCCATTTATATATTTCTAGTCTCAGAAACCCAAAGGGGCACTTTTACTTAGTACTATAAGGGTCGCTGTGATTTAGAACTGACTCGATGGCAGTGTTCCCCCCACTCCCAATGCATCAAAGAGCTCTGGGGGTGGTGTGGGATAAGTGTTGGGCTGCTAACTACAAGGTCTGGGCTTTAAAACTACTGGCCTCCTCGTGAGAGAAAGACAAAGCTCTGTGCTTCTGTAAAAATTTAGAGTCCTGGTGACCCTATGACTTCAGTTGAAGTTAGTGGGCGGGACTTTGTAAAACCCGCAATAAGATTGGCTGCAATGCTGGCCTCCAGCATGATGGTTGTGAGGATGGCCCAGGGCTGGGCGTTTTCTTCATCGTGCGTAGGACTGTTAGGAGCTAGAACTGACTTGACGGCACCTAGCAACAACAGTAGGTTATTTCCAGGACTTCCTTCCATTCTCATTTCTCCTGTGTGTATTTTAACCTTATCTCCCTTCAATAATTGTGATTTGTGTATTTGCTATTTACTAGAGACTATGTTAATAATTCTTCATATGTTGTCTCCATTAAGTTTGTCAACAGTTCTCTTAGGTTGGTATTATTATTGTCATGATACCCACTTTAAAGGTGAATAAGTTGAGTCTTAGAGGAATTAAGTGATTTGTTTGAGAGTATACAGCTAATAAATGACAGAGCCAGAAAAGTTTCATGCTTCCTGATGCTAGAAATTTGGCTTTGCTCTTGACACAGTCATACCCACATTATTGGGATTGCCACTTGATGTGTTGGTACCTGCAGCTAAACTTTAAAGATAGCAAATGATACTTGAAATGAAACATTATGACCAGTTTATTTTCTGTCTAGGGAGAAAGATGAAACTCTCTGCTCGGATAGAGATTGACAGTCTCAAACCCTGATACAGGGTCCCGCTGAGTTGGAATTGACGTGATGGTAGTGGGTTTGGGTTTGGGGCTGTATTTTCTGTGGAAGAAAAATGCAGTGTTTGAGCCTTGCCTTTTCTGCTATTACCTCGTTGTCCATATCAGCTCCTCCTTTCTTTGTATTTGAATATTCTGTTTCTTGGATATGGCACCATATCCTGAAAATTGGTATTTAGTCATTGCAGGGCAAATGCCTTATTTGAGTGCAAACATTCCATTACCTTTTAATTCCAATTTTCCTTAAAGGTTTTGAAGTTTTTAGCTATAGTTAGTAATGATAGTTGACATTTTTGGAACACTTTTCCTCAGTAATGTATTATCTTATTTAATATTTACCAATTCTATGAAGTAGATATTGTTATCTCTTTTATCAATGAGACATCTGTGTTTCAGGGTGTTTAACTCAGTGGTCTGTGGTTTTATAGTAAGTTAAGGCTGGATATCTGATTTCAATGCCTATACTTGTACCTACTATGCAATTCTGCTTTCTCATTATAGGTATGGTGGGTGCATAATGTATTCTCTATTAAGCAGTATACCACTTTGTTAAGGAAAAATTTAAAACTGCATTTTCTACTGTAGTTTTTAACATTTTTGTGTACGATGACCTTTCCGCCCCCCCTTAGCAATGTAACTGTACATACATACTTTTTCTTTGGAAGAACGGTGTGCCATCATTTGGCAAGGTCAATGATGTTCTTTTATAGAATTATATATTTAGAGAAAGCTTTTTTTTTTTTTTACAAAAACCAGTGTTGTTTGTTTTTTTACAAAGTAGATAGAAAACTTAAAATGTAAAAGAGTTAGAAAACTTACATTTCAGAAGTGTCTGCTCTTTTGAAACAGGTGCCCTCACGACGCAGTGGTTCATGGTTAGGGTTGTTGGTCGAACTCGCCAGCTGTTCTGTGAGAAAGATGGGGACCCACGGCCCACGTGTCACCGAGTCCATCGAGCTCTGGCTCTCGCTGTTGTGGAAGCAGATTGCCAGGCCTTTCTTTGGAGGTGTCTTTGCGACGTGGGTGGCTTGTACCACCCACTTTTTGGCTAGTAGCTCAGTGCACACTGTGTGTTGCCCAGGGAGTTCTTTCCTGTTGTTTCTAGGATTGAGTTTGTGACTCCATTCTTTTCTCATGAACTCCAAACGCCTTAAACTGATTTACAAGGCACCCGAGCCTCATCTATGCCACCCTTCCAGTGGTGTTGACCTCCTCTTATTTATTGCTCCCTCTCCCTAGCACATCATATGCTCTCGTCTCTCCTAGTTTACCTGAATACTCTTTACCCCTGCTTCATTGTGTTAGTTATTTCCATGTAACTGTCACATCCTCATCGGAGTCTTTTTCCTGAAGTCTAGCTTGTTTGTTCTTATGGTTCCTTATACTTTTTCCACTGGAGTCTCTATCATCCTTCCTTGTCTTCTCAGGTAATACTTTTAGTGGGGAGAGATCATATAATTTTTGGTTTATTTACCTCAAACTCAGAGTTTAATGAAATTTCTGGCCCTCAAAAGGTGGTCAATAAATATTTGTTGATGAGTGAATCTTATTTAACACTAAATCATTACTCTCTGAATCTGTAGTGAAGAATGTGCAATTTGGATAAAAATAGAAGTCTTAATCATTTTATTTTAATAAAGGTTCCAGGGCAATCTTCACAAGAACAGTAGTATTTAAAGCAGTGTCAGGAAAATAGGAATTTAATTAATTCTATTTTGCTTATTCATCCTCTGGTTACAATTAAATAGAACAGGGATTCTCAACACCCAACATCTTTCTAAGTTCTGCTCTACCAGTTATCAAGGGGTCACAGCTCCTGGTGGTAGTACGCTCTCTTCTTACCTAATGACTACCTTGTTACCTAGCATTTTCATTTGTTGACGTTAGTGGAAAATCTGTCTGACTCTTTCATGATGACATATATCTGGCGGAAATGAATGCCAGGGTGCAAAGTGAGAATTATTCTGGTGGTGGCGGTGATGAATCTGTGTGTCAGCTTAGTTGGGCCATGATTCTTGGTGGTTTGGCAGTTATGTAATGGTATATTCGTTCTCCATTTTTAAGATCTGACGTAGTCATCCTCCATTTTCACATAATGCTGAGTTTTACTTAGTAATCTAGTCTTTGGAATCTAACTGTGTCTGTAATTGAGGAGAGGGTGTAATTGCTTTTCAGAATCTCAGGTGTGGGTAGTTTGTTAAAGACCCCCCACTCTCCACCCAACTCAGTCCCCTCCATTTTACCCCTCTCCCTCATTCAGTTAGGTTCTCTCCCATCCCGTTGCACTGGAAGAGAGCGTACTTATGAAGTGATCTAAATGTCATGCCTAGAAATGAAAAAGTACAGTAGAGGCCCTCCTCACTGATGAGTTTGATTGGCAGGTGGCTAATTGAAAAAGATTTTTAAAATGAGTAGTCATTAGAAAAATAATACATAGTACCTTAAACATTGTATTTTAACCCAAACACAGAAATATACATTCATTCTCCAGTCTTTTAAATTTGGGTAAAGGAATTAAAAAAAATCATTTTATTGGGGGCTCATACAACTCTTATCACAATCCATACATACTTCCATCGTGTCAAACACATTTGTATATTTGTTGCCATCATCATTCTCAAAACATTTGTTTTCTACTTGAGCCCTTGGTATCTGCTGCTCCTCCCCCCTCTCCCTGCTCTCTCTTCCCTCTTGAACCTTGATAATTTATAAATTATTATTACTTTGTCATATCTTACACTACCCGACATCTCCCTTCACCCACTTTTCTGTTGTCCATCCCCCAGGGAGGGGGTTATATGTAGATCCTTGTAATCGGTTCCTCCTTTCTACCCCACCTTCCCTCCACCCTCCCGGTATCGCTACTCTTACCATTGGTCCTGAAGGGTTCATCTGTCCTGGATTCCCTGTGTTTCCAGTTCCTATCTCTACCAGTGTACATCCTCTGGTCTAGCCAGACTTGCAAGGCAGAATTCATATCATGATAATGGGAACGGGGTAGAAGCATTTAGGAACTAGAGGAAAGTTGTATGTTTCATCGTTGTTACCCTGCATCCTGACTGGCTCATCTCCTTGGGTAAAGGAATTTCTGGGGTATAGTTTCTTTTACTGGAGTTCTTTCTCCCTTATCTTTTTTTTATATGAAGTTATATAAAATATTATTGCAACTAGAGTGCCAATTCATACACGCATGAGTTCCACATATAGCATGTCTCTCTGATCTGTGGATTGCTACAGACAAGTTCACTTGGTAAAACTTTTGTCTTAGTCCCCTTAGGGTGCCTACCAAGAAAGGTCCAATCAGCATGGTAGCTTTTGAGAGACTATGTTGGGCCAGTGAAATTCAGGGCAGAGAAGTGAGCTCAGAAGGCTATGGTGACCTTATTTTGGGATACCAATGGAGTAATCTTGATAGATTTTCTTGAAGACCACAGGATGATCATTGGGGCTTCTTATGAAGACATTTTAAGAAACTTGAAAATTATTGGTGAGAAAAAGACTAGGAGTACGTTGTATAATGCACTCAGGAATTGTTTACTTTCACAAAAATGGACCTCCTCTTCTAGGGTGGTCCTATGAGACTTTTACTGGGAAACCTTATTCCATTTAGTCTCCAGCCTTAGTTTTGCCCCTTCAGACTTTCATTCCTCTCCCAAGCTCAAAGGAACAGTTAAAAGGAATACATTTGAGTCACTTGAGAGTGCCGAAAACGGTTTTTTCGATGTGGTATAACTCCAAGGGCGCAGGGCAAGGGTTAGAGAGATGGAAACAACACCTTGGGAAATGGAACCTACATGGAGGTGATGTTGAGAAATAATAACTTCACATTTTGATGTTTTTGCTCAAGGCAAATTTCTGTGATTTTGGTAGCAGTGCTTTTTTGAATTAACACCCTATGTCCTACATCTGTAAGTTCCAGTTCTATTTTCTTGAAAGTTGAGGGATAACATAAAGATCTTTGGGAAGTAATTCTGAATGTAAACTCTTTCTAGGTTTTTATGTTTTTCCTTCAAAAGTTTTTTTAGCATTTTCAAGAGGAACTTTTACTGTCTTTCAAAAACATTTCATCCAGCTTTTGTAGTAACTCTCTTCATACATTTGATTTTATCAGTTTATATACTTTAGACTTTCATAATTACTATAAAAAATAATTGGCATGAAGTAAAAGAAAGACTGTATAACTCACTTCAGTTTGGGCACTGGAGAATAAAATGTTCTCTTTGTTATGGGTATTAGTATGTTTTATAGTGGGCGTAGGGGGGCTAGTCCAGTAAACTAGTTAAGTGGTAAAGTTTAAGAGAACTATGTATATGTTATAAGACATTTTAATACTATAAAGATTTTTAGAGTATATTCCTCTAGCAACATTAATATTCCCCAACAATATATTTAAACTTTTAAAAAGATGTACTTTTAATAACTGTTTTTATTATTTTATCTTTGGAATAATCATGTTTGTTAAAACTTCATGTGTGCATATTATTTGCATAGAAGAAAGCAATAAAATATGTGTCATTTGAACCATACATATAATATGGGATCAACCTAGGGATAAAAATATTTTATTGATTGGAACTGAAATATTGTGTATGTCTTTAAATTCAAGACAATGTTTTATAATCATCTAGTTTAGTTTGTGTAATGTAAAGTGTTAGATACGTAATAACTTTAAGAGTGTATTGTTAAAATCTCATTTAGTTTCTTTCAGATTTGTGGGTTTTTTCTTTTCATTTCTGATTTACAGCTGAGGAAATTAATTCAAGAGTTTAATTAAAAGGCCGTTGGTTGTATAGTCCTGAAATTGTAGGTTGGGTTTTGAACTGAGGTGGTTCTGATTCTGAAGTCTATACTGTTCTGTAGTGGTTACAACAAAAAAAGCAAAAATAAATATATATTTACTTTTGGTATGTGTGTCTTTTTTAGATGAAGAAAATAGTTTACATGTGGTAGTGAACTGTGGAGAAGCATTACTGAAGAATAATACTTATTGGCCTCTTGTTAGTGATTTTATTAATATTCTTTCTCATCAAAGTGTGGCTAAGAGATTTCTGGAGGACCATGGTTTGTTAGTTACATGGATGAACTTTGTGTCATTCTTTCAAGGTATGAATTTCAATTTCTATGTTAATTTTTTGCTTATCAAATGACTAGTACTAAATGACTAAATATGAATTGAAGCATATTTGAAGCACATCTTTCAGATTACATGTTCATTTTCCCATTTTAATTATTTTTATTTTTAAAATAATTTTATTGGGGGCTTGTACAACTCTTATCACAATCCATACACAAATCCATTTTGTGAAGCACATTTGTACATCTGCTTCCATCATTGTTCTCAAATCATTTTATTTCTACTTGAGCCCTTGGTATCAGCTCCTCATTTTTTTCCCTTTTTCCCCACCTCCCCACCTCCCCTCCCTCCCTTGATAATTTATAAATTATTATTTTGTCATATCTTACACTGTCTGACATCTCCGTTCACACACTTTTCTGTTGTCTGTCCCCCAGAGAGGGGGTTATATGGAGATCCTTGTAATTGGTTCCCCCTTTCTACCCCACCTTCCCTCCACCCTCCTGGTATCGCCACTCTCACCACTGAGGGGTTCATCTGTCTTGCATTCCCTGTGTTTCCAGTTCTTATCTGTACCAGTGTACATCCTCTGGTCTAGCCGTATTTGTAAGGTAGAATTGGGATCATGATAGTGGGGGGAGGAAGCATTAAAGACCTAGAGGAAAATTATATGTTTCATCATTGCTACACTGCACCCTGACTGGCTCATTTCCTCCCTGCAACCCTTTTGTAAGGGGAGGTTGCCTACAAATGAGTTTTGGGCCCCCACTCCACTCTCCCCCTCATTCACAATGATAAGATTTTTTATTCTTTGATGCCTGATACCTGATCCCATGGACACCTCATGATCATGCAGGCTGGTGGGCTTCTTCCATGTGGGCTTTGTTGCTTCTGAGCTAGATGGCCGCTTGTTTATCTTCAAGCTTTTAGACTCCAGACACTATATTTTTTGATACTTGGGCACCAGCAGCTTTCTTCATCACATTTACTTATGCACCTGCTTTGTCTTCAGCGATTGTGTCGGGAAGGTGAGCATCATGGAATTTCAGTTTAATAGAACAAAGTCTTCTTGCATTGAGAGAGTACTTGAGTGGAGGCCTAATGTCCATCTGTGACCTTAATACTAAACCTATAAATATATGCACATAGATCTATTTCCCCATCATCATATATAAATATGTTTACATATGTATGTGCCTGTATTTAGACCTCTCTAAATGCCCTTTGCCTCCAAGTTCTTTCCTCTATTTCCTTTTACTTTCTTCTTGTTCCCCTGTGATGTTCAGCCTTCATTTGGGTTTCAGTGATTCCTCTCGGTTACATTGCCCTTGATCAAGTGCTACCAGGCCTCCTACATCCTCTTTGTCATTGATTTTAGATCACTTGTTGTTTTCTTGTCCCTGGGTTTGTTAACACCCACTTCCTATCCCCTGCCTCCCCCTCTCCCATACCCCTCTGGAACCATCTGTCCCGTTGTTTTCTCCTCTGGATTGTTTATCCTGCTTATCTTATCTAGCTAGACCTGCACAGATAATAATAGGCACAAAAAACAAGACAGAGCAAAACAAAGCAACAAAAGAAAACAAAACAATAACTACAACAAAAACTCACTACAAAAAAAGAAAAGGCTGTAAATAGTTCAAAGTCTGTTAGTTGCCCTTTAGGAGTGGTTTCCAGTCGAGTCTGATGGGGCGCCACGCCCTGGCCCCAAAGTCTATTTTTGGTACTCCCTCGGGACTTCCTTGCTCTGTGCCCCTTGCTGTTCTGTTGCACACCCTTAGTGTCACCCTTAGTGGTTTGCCTCCTTGTGGTGGGTCAGATCAGGCGCAATTCCCACAATATCTCCAGTGTTGTCCCCTGTAGGGATATGGGTCAGTCATTTTCCCATTTTAATTGATATATTTAAATACTTTAATAATAGCTTCATGAAGACGTACCTGACAGGAAAAATGTTTTTCCCCCTATATAAAAGGAGACAGCAGTGTAATTTTATAAATATTTAAAATCATTAATATAAAAATGGTTATTCACTAAGAAACAGTTATAAAACTTTCATTAAAATGTCAACTCACATCCATTCAAATTGTTTTGACTTTAAAAATATTTAATTATATTATTTAAGTAAAACACAATTCCTAAGTCTTAAGAAGACAGGTTTTGAAGCATTCTCAAAGGGTTTGAGTACTTCATTTTATTATATGTATTTCTGAATATACTGCGTTACTTGTGCCGTTTGTATGTGTTAAAATGTGTTGTTGCTGCAAAGTGTTTTACCTGATTTTTAATCAGAACATCTACTGTCAGTTAGCAAGGTTTATATCTGCTTTAATTTTTTGTCAGGTATGAATTTGAACAAGCGAGAGCTAAATGAGCATGTTGAATTTGAATCTCAGACCTACTATGCTGCCTTTGCTGCTGAACTTGAAGCCTGTGCACAGCCCATGTGGGGGCTCTTATCACATTGTAAAGTTCGGGTATGGTGAACATATTTGTGCCAACTTCCGTGTTTACTTTTAAATAATTTCTAAGAAAACTTTTTTGTGAAAATGTTGGTTGATTTGTGTCTATAGTAATGTGTAGTGTTTGATTTTGTTTCTAGTTGAGTTTAGCTCTGTGAGATTTGGCCTGAGACAGTAATTATTATTCTTAGCCATGTTGGAATTCATTAATATTATTACTCCATTCCACCCTGCCCCTATTTTAGAGTCGTTGGAACATTAATCTTTATTGTTTCATTTTACTTATTGCCAACTGCTTAATGTTTTTTGTCTTTGAAGAGGTGACCATAAACCTCAATTAAGTTTACACTCTTGAGATTCTAGGTACAAAATTAGTGCACATCCTGTACGATTCTAGTTATTTATAAAGAGTAGCAGAGCAATAGCATACATCTTTTACATATTATAATCCAGTTAGTTAAAAACTACCCTCTGTAATTGCATGTGTCTGAGAGTAAGTACAAAAATACTGCCACAAAACCACAGACACCTTGAAGCAAAAATATCACAAGATGAAGCTGTCCTTTCTTGACATATCCTCCATCTAGGTCTATGTACTTCTGAACGCGGTGTTTTCCAACTCTCTACCTTTCTCTGAAGCAGTCTATCAAACCAGAAGTTTTGTGATCCTTGAGGATCTTGAATTGTATTCCCTTGAAATGTTCTTTGAGTTTTGGGAACTTTTGAGTCTGAAGGGGCAAGATCTGGGTGGTAGGGTGGGTGGGATAAGGTTTCCTGAAGACATTCTTGCAGGACAGCTATTGGTACCCTGGAAGCTTAAACAGCTGCATTGTCATGATAGAAAAATAGTTCCTCGGGGTGTTTTCAGTTCAGACTCCTAAACCCTCTCTCTCTCTCTCTAGAAAATCTACCAAGATTATCCCTCTAGAGTGCACCCTCTCCCCCCAACACCAAAATCACTGTAACCTTCTGTGCTGACCTCTCTGGAGGTCTAGAATTTCTGGCCCAATTTATTGCTTCAGAAGCCACTGTTTTGGTTTGACCATATTTTAAAGATGCCCTAATGAGACAAAGACAAGTTGTATCACTGAGGAAACTTGTCTGCAACCATCTGCTGATTGCAGAAGCACACCTTGAGTGCTTGAAGGGAATAAACCCATGCACATATGCACTGGGGCCCCAGTAACAATACCTTTTGACTCTCCTTCATATTTTGTGTGTTGCTATCATGGTACCAGAGGCGCCCTGGTATCATGGTAGTTATGAGATGGGTTGCTAACTGCAAGGCTAGTAGTTTGAAGCCACCAGCCGCTCCTTGGGAGGAAGACGTGGGCTTTCTACTCCTGTCTTGTAAAGAGCGATGGTCTCAGAAACCCACAGGAGCAGTTCTACCCTGTCCTATAGGGTCACTATGAGTCGGCACCAACTTGGTGGCACAGAGATTGTGGTACCATGATTAAATGCTCCACTGCTAACCAAAAGGTCAGTGGTTTGAATCTACCAGGTACTTCATCTGAAGCCTGCTTCTCTGAAAATGTACATCCTTGGAAAGCCTATGAAACATTTTACTTTATGTTCTAGGGCCATTGTGAGTTAGACTCAATTAAGTGATAATGGGTTTTTATATTAATATGTAATTTACTTTTGCAGAAACTTGGTCAATTCAGAGAAGTAGAAACTTGGTTCCTATTAAGCTGAAGACTAAGATTTTGTTATATGCATTCTGTGATGTCTGCTTAGCCTGTACCAGTAAACATGATTTTGAAGGCTTATGTTCTAGTCTCAATTCTCTCTTCTTAGTGGGGATAGTCAAGTAATTTAAAACTCTATGAACATGTGAATCCATTTCTTTTATCCTGTTCGGAACAAAATGGAAAACCTGCTCTTCCTCTCAGGTTATTTGGGGGCTTGTTTTCCTGTACCCTTTAAATATATGTGTTCTTTTAAGCATATTTGTATTTCCCCCTTCATTTCAACTCTTCTCTAAATGCAGATAACTCACATGTTATACTCTAGTCCAGATTCAAATCCTGACAAGTCTGGTTATTCATGTGGATAACCTTATTAGTGCATGAATTTTCACGAGGGCCTGACTAACTGTAAACATAATTTTTAGAAGATGCTGCATATCCTTTTTTGCCTGTATTTCAAAAATGATCTACTCAAGATCCTCATGCTGCACCCTCCACCAACCCCACCTTATCATATAACAGAGACTACCCATTCCAAAGTGGGATTGTAACTGCAGGCATGGAGGTTTGCAGGGAGATTTAATCTACAAGTAACACTGCAAGAGAAAATAATGAATTTAGGAATGGATTAGATTTGAAGATCAGAGAAGGCCTTTCTGAAGCAAGGCTATGAAGGAGCCAGTTATGTGAAGAATGAAAGAGGCAGTAGTGGTGGTGGGGAGGGAGAAGTAGATTGTAATAATAGTTCAGCTTCAGAACGAAAGTGGGTGCTACATTGAAGGAATTTATCACTGGAATTAGTAGAACAACGTAGAGTTGGGAAATAGACCTTGGTCAGAGTATGCAACTCCTTTTAGCTCTGCCTCCGTCCGACAGGACTCACTACTTTTTAACTGGGTCCTTTCATTCATTCATTGCAGTGCCCACACAGAACTCACAGGTGATGCTTACTATTGTGAGGTTTATTAGGGAAGTTAACAGGTGATAATTCAGGTGAGATGCTCAGGATGCAGTTGTTCAGTTAGGACAGTTTCTTCCCTGCCATGCCTCTTTCTGGCTCTTGGCCTCTTTGCCTGACTCTGTCCTGCTCAGGCAATGTTATTTCTAAGCTTTTTTAGGACAGCTGATAAATGCCTAAAGCACTGCCACTGCATTGTGTGACTTTCTACCTGAAGACACTCAACTCCAGTTCCCCCAGTTAAGTTTCCAGAGGCACCCCACTCCCACGCCAGCCTTCTGCCCAGAAGCACTCAGCTTGATTTGCTCTGTGGGCTGTGAAGTTCCCTGCTCTGTCATGCTCTCAGTCTGTTTTTGCTGCTCCTCTGCCACTCCTCTGGTGTACCAGCTGTCTCCTGGACCGAGGAGGCTTACTGCTTCTTCTGGGGTTTCCACTTCTTCCCTCTTGCTGGCAGTGAGATGCTCCCTAAAGCCTCTGAGATGGCTGGTTTTATAGCCAGCACTATGACGATCACAATTTACCCTGTAAGCAGTCAACCACAGCTGAATCATTTAATCCAGTATCTTTCCTTACTTCCTCTCTTCGAGCCGTCAGAAACAAAAAGCCATTTTGTGATAATAACAAAGGCTATGGCTAGAAGAGCCTTATTAAAGAATTCACTGCACGGTGTTCAGATTAAGCAGTTTTGGATTCATTTTAAGGAGAAGTCAGTGAAGATTTCCAAGTAGAGATGTGATAAGATTTACACTTAACAGACAATTCCAATTGCTGGTTGAGATTGTATAAGGGTTATAACAGCAGCAAGATTAGAAGCAATCAACCCACTATGATGCTATAATAATAATTTAGCCTCATGCGATTCAGATAGCATATATCCAATATGTATTCAGTATATATTTTGGTAATGAAGATGTATTTTAGAAGTGGAACTAAACAGGCTTAATGTTGGATTTTATGTTATTTGATGTAGTAGCAAGAAAGGTGTGGGTAACTGTATGGGGGACATATGTACAGAAATAGAAAACACTAGTAGAAAAGCAGATTGTAGAACAATCAAGCAAGGGGGTGATGGGTATGTTAACTTTGAGGTTTCTGTGGAGCACCCTAGTGGAAAGGATGAATAGGCAGTTGGTTTTAGATGAGTCTTTATTCACAAAAGAGAAGTCTATATCAAGGGCATAAGTTTTAGACCCTTTGGCACAAAAGTGGTTTTTAAATACAGGCAGGTAAATAAAGTCTAAATATATAGAGAAGTTAACCCTGAAGAAAGAACTCTAACATTTGGAGATCAGGGAGGGGAGAGGAAAAAAGCTAGAGGAACGTGGTGCCGCAGAAGCCAAAAATAGATTGTGATTCAAGAGAAAGAGGGAAGATTGATTTGAAAAGAGCAGTATTTTAGGAAGATTATTCTGATAACTGTGTTTAGGGCAGATGTGGATTATGACTTTGGGGTTATGCTTATCTCTGTAGTAATAAGAAACCCTCATTTCCAGACAGTAGTTTCTTTCTCAGCTTAGAAGTCCAGGATTGCAAAGTGCTGTGATTTTCTCAGGAGTGCTGGTGGTACAGTGCTTATATGTTGGCTGCTAACTGCAAGATCAGCAGTTCAAGACCACCAGTCATTTGGTGTGAGAAAGACATGGGCTTTCTTTTACCCTAAAGCGTTATAGTCTTGGAAACGCACAGGGGAAGTGCTACCCTTGCTATGGGGTCATTATGAGTCAGGATTGATATGATGACAGTGAGGGATGATTTTCTCAATCTATCAAGTGAAGAGAGCACAGAGAATAGAGACTCAGTTTGGCCTGGCCATATATGGGAGCACAATTTTTCAGTTAAAGGAACATCTAGAATCCTTGGGTGGTATAAATGGTTCACGTGGTTGCTACTAACAGAGTTTATAGGTTTGAGGGAAAGAAAACCCTAGTCACCTGCTTCTTCAGACTGTCTGGAGCACAGTTCTTACCCGAGGTCCATGAGGTGGAGTCAGCTAGTTGGTAGTCCTAGAGAAAAGCTCCTGGTGAACACCTGCGCTAGACCAGTATTGTACTAAGCTTTGACACATACCACCTCCTCTAGTCCGCGGAGCGCTTACAAAGTACCGTATAGACTCGAGTATAAACCAACCTGAATATCAGCCGAGGCACCTAGTTTTACCACAAGAACTGCATAAAAAATGTGCTGAAAAACTCAGCTTCAACTCGAGTATTCGGTAGATCATATCATGCTGTTTCTGAGGTTAAATAACTTGTTCAGATTCACACAGCTACAAGAGAAGGTTGACCAATTCATCAATCTGAGTTTAGAATCATTGCTACTTACCAACTTGCTATATTGTCTGTTAAGCAAAAATGTTCAGAACTTTTTCTTGTTGGCAGATTTTTAAAATGTGACCTAAAAGAAAGCCCATTATTTCAAGTAAAATCTTTACTCTGATTATGTTTTCTGACTGTAAAATAAAAATATTAAGCAGTGGAATATGGAACTTCACTTTGATAGGTAACTTACTTTCTTTACCAAACTACGGCCTTCATATGTTGCTTAATGCTTCAGTGTTTTTGTTTCATAGTTTGAATACAACTTAATAGGATTGACCTGAATGCTATTAGATTCCTGCAAATATTAAAGGCCAGTCACACAATCAGAGATTAAGAATTGATTGACTACAGAGATGGCACCTTTCTGACATTCTATTTTTGTTTTCTGAAGACACCAGTGGAGTTGCACAGTCATCCTCTGGGGTAATCTAACGCTACTGGAGAACTGATAAAAGTTGAGTCTGGCCATAACTCCTTCGTTGGAGCACTTGTTAGGCATAGTGCTAGAACATTTTATGTACTGCCTCGGATTTGCTTCTTCATAACAATACTAGGAGGTAGTCAGTATTCCAGAAGTTGGAGAAATTTAGACTCAACATTCAAGTAACTAGCTCAGGGCCACAGAACTGTCAAGAAATAAGTTAGCATGCATATTGATTTGTTTAAAAACTTGTGTGGGAATTGTAGGGGTGGAGAAATAGGAGAACAATGATCTAACTAAACATGATTATTAAATGCTTCATTTAAGAAATGGAATAAATTGGTCACCTTTTTTCAGAAGGCTGATTGGTACTGTCAAATTGTTTTTCTGAAGGGTTGTAATGTAAATGCACCTGCTTTCTTAACTGCATTTCAGATTGTTGGTTGCTAGTGCATATAACTACATTCTGATTTTGTATATTGACCTGGCATCCTGCACCGTTGCTGAACTTATTGATTAGCCCTTTTGTTTTTTTGGGGTGTGGATTCCTTAATTATTTTTTTGTATAAAAGAGCACTTCGTCTATGAGTAGATAAGGTTCTATTTGTTTATGTGATTGCCCTGGAGTGAGCTTTCAGCACAATATTGAGCAAGCATGGTGGGAATGGGCTTGTTGTCTTGTTCTTGATTGTAGGTGGAAAGCTTTTCGCCTTTCATTATTATGATATTATGATCATATGATATTATGATCAGGTTGTGGAAGTTTTCTTTGATTCCCAGTTTGAATGTTTTTATCATGAAAGATGTTGGACTTTTCCAAACAGTTTTCCTGCTTTATTGAAATTATTTGTACCCCACCTTTTTCTATTGGAAGCCCTAGTGGCTGCAAATTGGTTACACATTGGGCTGCTAACCACAAGGCCAGCAGTTTGAAATCACTAGCCACTCCTTGGGAGAAAGATGAGGTTTTCTACTCTGGGATACTATGAATCAGAATTGACTCGATGACAGTGCGTTGAGTTGTTGAGTTTTATTCTATTATTTTGGTGCATTACATTGATATTTCATCCCCTTCAAATGTCTTTTGTTCCCGAATGGGCTGACAAATTAACATTTTAAATATTTACTGGAAAAAAGAGCCCAGCTTCATATCAGGTTATTAAGGCCCTTAGTGACCTGCAGTAGTAGCTTCTACTTGAAGGCTACTGGCCAAGGAGCTTTGGGCCAGTCAGAGGAGCTTTCTCTCATGTAGAGCTACTGACTCTGAGACTGTCCAAGTCACTGCCTTACTGTGTCACCTGTTTACTCCCCTCTTGGAGGGGAGGCCAGCCAGCCAGATGGAAGCCTCATTTCTATGTGCTGTTTTTTGGTGGGGCCCTTGGATTAGATCACAATGGGGGAATCCTCCTTTCCCCTCCTCGAATTATTTCATGATCCATGGCTGAGGCTTTTATCTCTCTCTCTCTCTCTCTAGCTATCTGTCTATTTCATGGCTGAGGCTTTATAACCATCTGTTACATCCTTGGAGTTAAGTTGTTAAAAGGATGAGTTAAGGACCATCTTAAAGTGAAATACCAATACTAGCTTGGCTCATAGCTTCCCATTGGCCCAATTCAGGTACTTGTTAAGGCTCTTGTTTGCTGACCGAAAGGTTTGTGTGACCCACAGAGGATTCATCATAGTTTTGGGGTCTCTTGAAATGGAGCCTACCTTAAAGCACATCAGTCTATTTCAGATTGGACAGGTTTCAGGAGTATATGAAGTATCACAATTGTCAGAGGTTGTCTTAGGTTATTACAATTAGTCTGTGAAGGGAAGTGTTTTAAAACTGACAATATGGAAGCAACCTTGAAAATCTGTGTGTTTTATCATCATGTATATGTGGGTAACCTTTTCTAAATATGCACAAAATGTATAATTTATTATATATGACATTTAATCTGAAGTTGAAAATACATGTTTATATATTTTAAAATTTATATAACTTATTATTCTAGGAAACTCAAGAATATACCCGAAATGTTGTTAGATACTGCCTTGAAGCTCTTCAAGACTGGTTTGATGCTATTAACTTTGTAGATGAGGTATGTATATTTTTTGATACATGTACAAGTGTTCAAGAAAAAAGTGTTAGATCTAATTTAACCCTTGAATTAATTATGGGAAAGGGAATAGAAATGGGAGTATACATATTCCACAGTACGATAATCTAATATTCTTCGTAGGAAGGGTGTATCTTCTTGTTCTCTTAATAAATGGGCATATGCATGTTTTAAGGTGGCCTGGTGGTTCAGCTATATTTTTTTATAATTTCAATTTCTGATTTTAAGAAAGTATAGGAAAAAAATCAGAGCGAAAGAATTGTTTTACTATTTCAAAGCCTTTTGAAAATACTTTGTTAAATATTTTTTGACATGTGGATTTTGTTTGTTTATTCCAGCCAGCACCTAACCAAGTCACTTTCCATCTGCCACTCCATCGTTACTATGCTATGTTTTTGAGTAAGGTTAGTCATTAAACAAGTGTTTTTTTCTCCCGCTCTCCTGGTCAGCATACATTTTCCCCTGAAGATTGAAAAATAAATATTGAATAAGTAACATGTTTATCCATCATTTTTAGGCTGTGAAGTGCCAAGAACTAGATTTGGATTCTGTTTTACCAGATCAGGAAATGCTAATGAAGCTCATGATTCACCCACTTCAAATTCAAGTATGTATTCTGACTTTTAAATAGTTTGAATTGTATTTCTTGGTTAAATGGTGTGGTTAAGTATTAGGTAGCTGTTTTGTTGTTGTTGTTGCAAGGGGTACGTAGAGTAATTGTAAACACTAATGACTCTTGAAAGTATTGAGTGGAAATTGTTGTAGTCAGGAGTTGTGATGGAACGCTAACTCGCATGTAAAGGGTAAAAGGCCTCTCTAAACCATAATGATCACCTCTGTCTTTAAGAGTCTGTATTTGATCTGGAGATCTTAAACTGACATATTAAGAGCTGCAGCGTAAGGGGTATTGAATTTCTGTTTGGGAGTAATTCTTCTTTATTAAAACATTTTTTATCTGAAAATGAATAGCAATGATGGCAGAACAAGTAGGTTTGTTGACAGAATTTCAGGCTAATACTATGGTTATGTCTGGTGATGAAATGTTTTAAATGATTATTTTGTAAAATGATTTTATGAAATTGAATTTACACGGTCTGTGTCTTCTGTGATTGCCTTAATTTTTATTTCACCAGGCAAGTCTTGCTGAAATCCACAGCAACATGTGGGTCAGAAATGGTCTGCAAATCAAAGGGCAAGCCATGACCTACGTGCAGTCTCATTTCTGTAATTCTATGATTGATCCCGACATTTACTTGTTACAGGTAAGCCAGCTCGGTAATCCCGATGCTAGACTTTAGAATTCATGTGGAATATTGAGAAATAGAGGTTCTTTTCTTTGTCTTTTAAAGGTCTGTGCTTCTAGACTTGACCCAGATTATTTTATTTCATCTGTCTTTGAAAGGTAATAGCATCCTTTTATTAAAACATATTATGAGCTGCTTGTAATCAAAGTTTATTTTAACCTTTAAACTTTTGTCTCAAATATTTCTTGCAGATTTAAGGTAGTGGATTTGCTGACAATGGCATCGCAGCACCAAAATACAGTACTTGATGCGGAGCATGAGAGATCCATGCTGGAAGGCGCTCTCACCTTTCTTGTGATTCTCTTGAGTCTTCGTTTGCATTTAGGTAAAAGCCACTACTATCAATAATTATTAGCTATTAGCTATCTTTCTGTTTTCCACTGCTACCACCCAATGGTATTAACTGACTTGGGAAGGAGGAAAAAGATGTCGAATAGTTATGCACAGTTTCAAGCTCTTAATACGTTGTATAATGGATACACCTTTTAGGATATACTTAAAAAAAATCCCTTAATTAAAGAGAGCTGCAAACAGCAGGGTGAATAAACTGCAGCTGCATTGAGACATTGAATTATTTGCTCTTTTATTTATTTTAAAGCTTTCAGTGTGATAATATATACACAGATATTTAACAAATAGCTTGCCATTTTAAGTGTACATTCACTGACAATAACTACACCCCTCATGTTTGACTACCATCACCACTATCCATTTCCAGAACATTTTCATCACCCAAACAGAAACTCAGCACCCTTTATGCTACAACTCCCAATCCCTTCTGAATTGCCTGAATTGCCACCTGTAAACATATGTCTCTCTGCATTTGCCTGTTCTAGATATTTCATGTAAATGGGATCATGTGATATTTATCTTTTTGTGTCCGACTTATTGCACTCAGCATCCTGTTTTTTACTGTCATGTTTCATTCATGTAGCATATATTAGAACTTTATTTTTCTTTATGGCAGAATGATACTCTATTGTAAGTACATACCACAGTGTTTTTGTCGATCTGTTGGTGGACACTTGGGGGTGATTTTTTACTTTCTGGCTGTTGTGACTAGTTCTGCAGTGGACATTGCTGTATATGTTTGAACCCCTGCTTTCAAGTCTCTTGAATTCTTGGGTTATAAGGTCCTTTACGTTTTGAAGCACTTCCTATTATTAAGCCAGCTTAATAAAGTGTGTGGTAAGTTTTATTTCTTTGTAGTCTATAAATTATAAATTATTAATTCTATTTTTGATTGTTTTAGGAATGTCTGATGATGAGATTCTCAGGGCAGAGATGGTGGCCCAATTGTGTATGAATGACAGGACACATAGTTCTTTGTTGGACCTCATATCCTTTTAAAAGTTTAATTTTCTGTTAGATGTAGGCCCTAAATAACAAGTGATTTTTATGGATTGAAGATGAAACATTTTATCCCACTCAGGTTGAAAAGTAACATTCCAAAAAAGCAATCAAACAAACAAACAAAAAGTCTACTCATCTGCTCATTTGTGTGTTCAGGGCTGATAACAAGTACTTCTCCTCCACTGACACTTCTTTGAGGAGCTGTGAATAGGTCTCAGGGCCGAGGCTCTGATTACTTTATCTGTGTAGGATGCAGTTCATAGCCGAGGTTTTAAGCTAGAAGTCAGTCTTCAACCAAGAAGTCTTTAATTGGAGATAATGTTGTTGACAAAGTCCGAAAACTTGTGATATTTTGTACAGTGAAACTGTGAGACCCAGACTTGATGAGACTTATTTTTGGGGGTCTTTGAACAGGGTACATTCCTAGTACTTTACTGTTGCATGTTTTAGTGCAAATTTTTTAAGTTTTTACTCTGGCAGATTCCAGATTTTGCAAAATTTGCTGTATAAGACTGAGCTTATAATGGATACATTATTGTTACTATTTTAGTGAATATACAATTTTAGGCAAATATTGACATGTTATTTTATAACGAAGTTATTTAACTAAACTTCTTAGGAATGTGTTTTGAAGAATTGGCTAACATGTTGCTTTTGTGAAATAACTCATGGTGAGACGCTGGTTTGATAACGTGGAAAATTTTCATAAGCAGTATCACTTGGATATTATTTATCCAACCCTTATCAGGTTCTGTTAAAAATGCATTCCCTGTAACTTTTGGTTTACTTAGCATCTCTTTATTTTGTCTTATTAGGAAAATAATTTTTATTCATAAAAATCGGCAAATTTTTAGTATACATTTTCTGATTTTTATGAAGAAACACTATTTGTAAAGTGATGGAAGTAGATATAATTTTTTTCTTTTATGATTTGATGACATGTTTTGGGGGAAAATATCCCAGGGAACTTCTTCAGCACACAACTTGTTAGTAGTTTTCTAGATTTAAAATATCCTACCACTATCACCACAAAAATCGACAATTAAGAGTTATCCAATTAAGTAGTGGCCTCTAGTGGCTATCAGTGTGCCTTGCATCGAGTTATTATTTGTCACAAAAAGCAACCAGAAAACGAGTATCTTGTTTAGGTTATGAAACTGGGTTTTAATCACTAATATTTTTTTTCTTGACACAAGCCTCATATTCCAGAGAATCCAAATCCTAAAAGTGGCATTATTCCAGGCAGTTATAGCTTTGAATCAGTTTTATCAGCTGTTGCTGATTTTAAGGCTCCTGTGTTTGAACCTGGAGGTTCTATGCAGCAAGGCATGTATACTCCCAAAGGTACGTCTATAGCATACATAAATTCTCTCAAATGCCAATTTCCAAATGATGAATTCTCACAAGGTGTTTGAAGAAAATGTTTTGCCTTTTGGGACAAACATGAGAATTTGAAATTTAGTCAGCTTTAGTTTTCTCTTCTTAACTTTCTTATGAATGTATGTCTTTTATGATAAATAGTGATAATTGCTTCCATTTATTTTTAAGTTTTTGGTTGTGTTATAACAAGACTTCTTAACTCTTAATTATGAAAGGAACATTATATATATCCTATTAAAGGAAAAGCACAGTATGTAGATGAGCTGTGTCAGATGAGGATTCTCTCTGTCATGCCTCTGAGTTCCTGTCCCTAACTCAAATCTGTTTTCACCAGAATTTCTGGGGGTGGAACCTGAGAGTGCCTTGTATCAGGCGCAGTAGCTGACTGCCATGCACAGTCAAGTCTGAGACACTAGACTGGAGGACTGGACATTTGAAGGCCAATGCCAAGAAACTTGGGGTTGTATTTAAAGACAATATTAGGTTGTATTAAGTAGTTGTGTGATGGTGGGGAAAATCCATTTGTATTCGGCTTATCTATAGACAAGAGTTGGACCACATGAGTGGTTGTTAAACTTCCTTTGAATGGTTGTACTAAGCCTTTAGTTATAGGGAACTAAATGTTAGAGTGAATCTATTACATCAAACTGGTTAGTGGTGGACCTGGCATGTCATCTGATTGTTTTGCCATCCCCTTGCTAATAAAGTGGCTCCTGTTCTGTTGTTGTTAGGTGGCTTCCAGTCCGTTTTGACTCACAGTTGCTCCATGTGACAGAGTGGAGCTGTCCATTGGGTTTTTCTAGGCGGTAACCTTTGTAGGCCTTTATGGAATTATGGTGCTGGCGAAGAATATTAAAAGGACCATGGACTGCCACAAGAACAAACAGATCTTTGGGAGAAGTACAGTCAGAATGCTCCTTAGGGGCAAAGATGGCCAGAATTTGTCTCATATGCTTTGGGTATATTATCAGGAGAGGCCAGTTCCTGGAAAAGGACACCGTGTTTGTTAGAGGGGCAGCAAAAAAAGAGGAAGGCCGAGGACAAGAAGGAGCCAAATAGTGGCTGTAACCGTGGGCTAGCATATCACAATTGTGAGAATGGTGCAGCACTGGGCATGTTTTGTTCTGTTGTGCACATGGTCGCTGTGAGTCGGACCGACTTCACGGCACCCAAAAACAGTCTTTACAGGAGTAAGCCACCTTGTCTTTTCTCGGACGAGCCACTGGGTGGGTTTGATGAGCACCAACCTTTTTGTTAGCATCCTAGTGCTTACCTCTTGTGCCATCAGGGCTCCTACTCCTGTTCCACCTCTGGAAATTCAGCTCCATGGAGCTCTGCATGCAACCCGTTGGACTAGTTAATCTAAAGTTTTGTTCCATGGCTAAGATTATCTGCTGGATAAGTACATGGGAATTTTAATGATATAAATTACCAGAACTTAAAAGTAAGCATGCCAGGAAGTTGAAATCATGGTGAGTGGATAGAAAGAATCTTAAGCGTATTAGCAGGTTCAGAAATGTTAGGAATTCTGCTACAGAGAATGAGAAGGGAAAACTTCATCTTGAAAAGAGACCCTGAGAAGACAGTGCTTTCTTTCCAACGTTCTTACTCTCAGACTGTCTGGAGCAGCGGTTCCTCGAATACAGTGCCGCAGGTTGTGGTGACCCCCAACCATAACCTTATTTTCGTTGCTACTTCATAACTGTAATTTTGCTACTGTAATGAATTGGGCGACCGCTGTGAAAGGGTCGGTCGACCTCCAAAGGGGTCACGACCCACAGGTTGAGAACCGCTAGTCTAGAGCTTTTGCCAAATCTCTATACCATGTTTGCAGTTTCATATTTAGTGTATTCTTAAATGAGTTCACTTAAGAAAAACCTTTAGGCATGATTATTAGTGAGTACATCGGCTTTTTTTGCAACTTAACATTTTTTTATTACACATTAATTTTTTTTAATACAAGTCAAAAGATTGATATACTTAAAAGTATCTTGTGTACACATGGATAGCTTTTGCTAATTATAGAAAGGTAAGAACAATGATCAATTTTAGCAAACAGAAGCCTTTAAAACAAATATTCGTGTAACTGAAATAAAAACATAGTATGAGATTATTAATTTTCAATCTAGCTTTCACCTTTGGTTACTTTTTAAGGTATCTCCCTCAGTGTTTTACTTTCTACTTGGTGTTTTTTTGAAAACAAAAACAAAAACACAACCAGAAAACAGTGACTTAAACTGAAGATGAAACATTATTACACTACGAATCTCTTGTTTACTAATGGTGTTGAAGAATGAATTCGGGAGAATGAATTCAACCATAAGGATGAGTGAACCTAAGAGTTTTGAATATGTAGTCATAGCATCAAGTCTACTGTTGTCTAATACATATAATCAACTGATATTATTCCTAAATTTTAAAATGTACTTAACAAACATAATAAGAAATTTATTTCCTAGAGATTGACATTATGTCTATGTTCTTTTGAATAATAGCTGAAGTCTGGGATCAGGAATTTGACCCCGTCATGGTCATTCTTCGAACAGTTTACCGTAGAGATGTGCAGTCTGCAATGGACAGATATACTGCATTGTAAGTCCAGTTGATGAGCCTAATAATGAAAAATTTTCTATTTATAGAGAAAATATCCAATTATAACAGAAGTGTGATTTATGGAGGGGCTTTGGAAAGTTTGTGGACAGAAAGTAAATGTTTAGAAAATGATGATGGCAACACATGTACAAATATGCTTGATCCAATTTATGTACGGAATGTTATAAGAGCTGTAAGAGCCCCCAATAAAATTATTTTTAGAAAAAAGTTTGCGGACAAATGGAATTAAAAGATAATAGAATTTTTTAAAAAGATAATAAAATTAAAGGTATATAGTTTAGAGTATTACTCTCAAGTCTTTAGGGTATATTATCTTTAGCCTTTAAACAATAATCTGGTTTAGATTTATGATTTGATGCTGACCTGATAAAAATAAATTTTATAAAACATCATCATTAAATATAGCAAACTTACTTTTGCTGTTTGCCTAATTGAATTAAAAGCTTGGATTTGTGCTGTTCTACTTTTAAACCAGTAGAGGAGGCACAAGTGAAGGTAATGGAGTGGAGGGGAGGGACTCCGCTGGGTGTGTGTGTGCCCGAAGGGTGACAAAGGTGCTGTCCTCTTGGCAACTGGGAAAATCATCAAAGTAAAATGAGTTTTATTTGTAAAAACTTAACACAGTATAAAATGCTGATGTCTATAGAAAATAACAGTTTTAAAGGATATATTTTTAATGAAGAATTCAGCTTTGTATGTTATTATAGTTGTAGAATTTTGATATAGGCACTTTAAAAAGGCTAGATCTTTCACTTGTGTTTTTCTAAAGTTTATATGAGTTAAACATTTATAGTAATTTTAAAATGATGCAAATATGTTTGATGTAGTAAATTTGATCTTTAGAAAACATTAAAGTGAAATATAAATATTATATATAATTGCAATTTCTCTTTTACCCAGACTTTGCAGTGTTAGATATAGATGGTGGATATAAGTTACAGTATAAATGTTTTAGGAAAACATGTAGTGTGGAAATTTAGCATTTCCCGCCCCTTAAATCAAAAACAAGAAACAAACCCTAAGCATGCTCAGTTGCCACTCTCTCTCTTGTCTTTGCCAAACCCTTGGGAGCTCTCTGCAGGGGTTCTCCCAGTCGGGCTCTTGTAGCGATCTTGTGCTAAGATTTTGTGCTATGCAGTTAGGTGGTTTTGTAACTGTTTCTTTCTTTGGTGGCTCGTAGTGGGCTCTGGGATCCTGAAGGTTGATGCTTTTGTCGCTATATCTCTTGTACATCTTTAGGACCTGACATAGTACAGACATATTCAATGTATATATGCTGAATGAATAAACTTGAAAAACTCACATTAAAAACTGGAAAAAATGAAGAGACCAAGGAAGCATTGTCATGGAAAACCTAATAAGAGCTCTCTAAATACCACTGCACTAATAAGTGGCTCTCTCGTTTTGGGGGCTGAGAAAAAGGCTAAGTTAGTCATTTTGAATATACGGAGAGTTAAATATATAATGAATTTTAGTATGGTGTTCTCTTTTATTTTGTACTTAATAGGAAATTTGAGTGGGATTAGGCTAACATCTTTAAAACCCTGGAGTCATTAAAGAATATGCACAGTTTAAAAGAGGAAAAGGTATTTAACAACACACATTCAAACAATAGCACAAATTCATTCAGTCAAGCATAGTATACAGAAAACAAGAATTGTGTCTTTCATATTTCTCTTGTCAATTTTTTGGTAACTTAGTTTTCTTTGGGAATGTACACAGCAGACTGTGCTCCAACTCAGTAGTTTCTCCCTGAGGTGTCTGTGCGTTGATTGGTGCCCACTGATCACACAGAGTGAGGATGCACCAATCTTGCATTCCTTTCTGAGTTCTCCAGCTCCTACTAACAAAACTCAGTGCCCTCTAAGTTTCTGATCTCATCCTTCTGTTGCTGTGGCTAATGGTGTACCATATATATGTTTCTTAAACACAGACATACCACACCATGTATCTTAAAAGAACATAGTGTTCAGGGTAGACACTCTTTTCTCCAAAAGTTCTTGCTGCCGTTGAGTTGATT